ATGAATATTTTCCATGATTCCGAAGTAACTTTGTTTAAAAATATGAAGGTATCTTCTTACTGAGCACACTCTCAGCCTTGCCTCTTCACTGCTGTTTAGCACACCAATCCCAGAGGTGTTGATTCGGTAGCTCTGGGCTGGTATATGGTGATTAACAACAGAGGTGGACTCTACACTTTCTAGATGGATTCTGGCTTACTTCCAGATCTGGCTAATGCAAAACCAGTGCATTCCTTTGCCTCCTCCTCCACCAACCTTCCCCTCTGCCTCATCATTCAATGTGAGAGAATGGGGTGCCTGGCATCATTTCAAGTTCCATCATTGGTTCAAATCTATCCCTAAGCAAACTGCTTTTATTTCAGAGGAACACTTTCTAGTGATCAGAACTGCAGGGGAAGTAAAACAATTTTACATTTACATAGCATTCCCATCCCCAAAGGAATAGTTTCTATGCCTACAAATACCACAGAAGCAATAAAGGGTTTGGTGGGTTGGAGTCTTTTTTGTGACTTTGTAAAAAGTCAGAATACCATGTAATAGATAATACTTAACAACAACAAATACCATAACAAATATTTCATACACATGACTCCCATTTAATAGCAACCACCTCATAAACCTGTGGTAAAAATGATAATATCTAGCTTATAAATCCAAAGCAGCAAGGGAAGGAAGTTTCCTTTTTTCTTCTTTCTTTTGTCTCTTTTCCTCTCCCTATTTTTGCATACTACTTATCACCAGAAACACACTTGTTTGTTTCCCCTCTTTCTTTAATACAATATATGCCCTAGAAAAGTTCACTACTATATCTCCAACTCCTGACACTAAGAAGTCATGTCAATAAATATTTGTTGAATAAATAAACGATGTTTTTTCAAAATTTGTTTAGCTCATTCACATTCCATCCTTGCAGCTCAATACTAAAAACCAAGGCACAGTGAAGGTAGAAAGGACACTTCCCAACCTCTTCTTCTCCCTTACTCTAGCAAAGAACAACATCCTACAAAAAGCCAAAGCTATTAAAACAAATGCTCCAATAAGTTCTGTTACTCCTGAAGCAGCCCATCTAGAACCGTGCTGTATAGATCAACCATTGAATGTATTTTGACTTAGCAGTTTTGACACCTTTGAAACCTGCCCACTCTTCATGGTTCCCAAAAATGTTCTGAGTGCTTCTCAAAGGGAACAGAAATCAAAGAGAATGCCTGGTTATGTCTTTGAAATGAAACATGGTTATACTGACTCCCTTTCCGATATCTTAAGTCAAAAGAAGTGTGGGGGGGGGGGTGTACTAGGACCACTGATTAACAGTGATACTAAACACACACACACACACACACACACACACACACACACACACACACAGAGTGATACTATACAGCATTCATGAACCTCATTAAATGGACCACACAGCCCCAGAGTACCATGGGTACAAAGGCTACTTTGACTTCAGAATCTCTGCAGCCAAAACAGTCACCTTCCCAAATATGAGTCTGTAAACCCCTTACTGAGTTTAGTTAAAGAGGAAGTAACCCAGATATGCAAAGAAAAATCACAGGAGACCTAGGAACCGACAAAAAGAGAATCATAAACTACAACTAAACAAGCAGTAAACTGTCTGATCCAGAGTTGCTCTTGGTTCTGTCACTTCAAGGGACAGACCACAGTAAAAAAAAGAAAAAAGAAAGAAAGAAAGAAATTTCAGAATAAATAAATAAATAAAAGCATCAGTCCGCAGAAGCCAAGGAGCTTCAAGCAGGCCGTCATTCTAAACCTCAGTACTCTGGCTTGACATTTGCTACCAAAGTGCTCTACTAAACTGCCCGCCAAGGAGCAATGAAGCAGAGCCCGTGCAATTCTTTCAACAAGCTACCGAGAGTGGAAGGCTAATTTCATGGGGCAGGGCCAAGCGCATTTAACAAACTGCACATCTGTAAGATGGAAATAAGCTGTCCTCATCTTCAGCAGTAACTCCCCCTGCAAAGGAGCTCCAAACTGGTGTCGAAGCCTTTCTCCCTCTAGGTGTGCAGCTGCCAATGAATTTGTTTCCACCTGCAGAAAAGAGGCTGCCAAAACATGAGGCTTTACCCAGCACCTCTGGAGACACCGGAGCCATGAATGGAAAAACTCGAGCAGCATCTGATTCCTTTCCTGGAGAAAGGACACAGGGAATCATGTCTACTTGTCCTTAACCCACACACTTTTTCCAAGTTTCTTTCCCCTTACCCCAAAGGAAATCAAATCATCGCATCATGGAAGGTGAGTTCATTTCCACATCAACCTTTTGAGTGTAAGTGTGTACCAAGAAGCCTGGACTCCACCTAGAATGTTGCTTTTATTTGCTGCAGTCGGGGTGTCTCGCTAAGCCTGGAAAAGGCAGCCTACTAGTCTGACTCATAAAGTTTTTGAGGATAAGTGAGAGCAAAAAACGCAAAGAATTGCCAAAAAGGATTGATGATGAAAATAATTCCTTCAAAAAGAAAAGCATCTCAGAAAAATCCACAGAATTAGCGACTCCTAGAGTGACAGCACTCCTGGGTATCATTTTAGCCTCTCCTTTGTGCTTTGGAGATGAGGAAATCGAGACCAAGAAAGGAAGTGACGTGCCCCAGATTACATAGCATGTGGCTGAGCAAAGCTGTATATCACAGGTCCCTTCCATACTGTTGGCTGCCTCTTCTAGAAATGGAATCGTGAGCCATCAGCCATGCTGCAGAAAATAAAACAAAACAGGACAGACAAGAGTTTGATTATCATATCCAGAGAAGAGCCATGTCTGAAATGGAGGTCATCAGGGTGTCTCGCTGTCTTACTCTAGACAATTTCCTGTGAGACTATTCAAGTCACTTAAGAGACAGACTTAAGACTCAGCAATCTCGAGCTCTCTGTTGCCCTCATCGCTGACAACTTTCCCATCCTTCGATCATCAAACTTAGAGAGAAGTGCCACTGACCAGACACACGGCCCACACCCACATCTTCTTTGGGGGCCTGCAGACAGGTAACAGGTAACATTCAACGTATAAACTACTGCAGGACACTGACAGCCCTCGAATGATTAGCAGCCTGCATCACCTTCCCACTCTGCTATCTGCCTTCTTTATCTCCTTCCTTCTTTATCTCACACTTTGTCAATCTGTCTTTTTCCCCCTCCCTCTTTCTCATCTTTTCTCAGTCCTGGCAGCACAACTAAGAGTTGTTTAGACCTGTTGATAACTGATAGGAAATAAAATGAGAAATCGCTGCTCGCCACAACGACGTTAGAACACTCCCTCACACCATACACAAAAATAAACTCAGAATGACTTGAAGATTTAAACAGAGGACATGATACCGTAAAACTCCTAGAAGAAAACACAGGCAAAACATTCTCTGACATAAATCATAGCAAGGTTTTCTTAGTTCAGTCTCCCAAGGTAATAGAAATAAAAGCAAAAATAAACGAGACCGAATCAGACTTATAAGCTTTTGCATAGCAAAGGAAACAATTAACAAAAGACAACCTAAGGACTGGGAAAAAATATGTGCAAAAGAGGCAACTGACAAAGGCTTAATTTCCAAAATATATGAACAGCTTATACAGCTCAATAACAAAAACAAACAACCCAATCAAAAAAATGGGCAGAAGACTTAAATATGGCCTTTCTCCAAAGAAGACATACAGATGGCCAACACAAGAAACAATGTTCAACTTTGCTACTTATTAGAGAAATGCAAATCAAAACCACAATGAACGATCACCTCACACCAGTCAGAATGGCCATCATCAAAAAGTCTACAAATAATAAATGCTGGAGAGGGTGTGGAAAAAAAAGAACCCCCCTACACCGTTCATGGCAATGTAAATTGGTGCAACCACTATGGAGAACAGTACAGAGATTCTTCATGAAACTAAAAAAAGAGCTGCCATATGATCCAATAATCCCAGTCCTGGGCTATATCCAGAGAAAATGCAAATTCAAAAAGTTACATGCACTCTGATGTCCATAGAAGTACTATTTACAATAGCCCAGTTATGGAAGCAAAATAAATGTCCGTCAATAGATAAATGGATAAAGAATATGTGTGTGTACACACACACACATATACACACAATGGAATATTACCCATCCCTAAAGAAGAATGAAATAATGCCATTTGGAGCAAGGGAGGGACCTAGAGATCAAGCTAAATGAATTAAGTCATAAAGAGAAAGACAAATATCATATGATATCACTTATATGTGGAATCTAAAATATGACACAAATGAACTTATTTACAAGACAGAAACAGACTCACATAGAAAACAAACTATGGTTACCAAAAGGGAAAGGGGGGGGGAGGGGTAAATTAGGAGCTTGGGATCAGCAGATACAAACTACTATATATAAAAATAGATAAACAACAAGGTCCTACTGTATAGCACTGGAAAGTATATTCAATATCTTATAATAATAAATAATGGAAAAGAATATGAAAAAGCATACACACACATATATCTCTGTATGTATATATATATGTGTGCATATGTGTATATACACACACACAAAACTGAATTACTTTGCTGTACACCGGAAACTCACATTTTAAATCAACTCTATTTGAATTTTTAAAAAAAGAAATTGCTGCTTATCTTCAATGAACAGAAGTACAAGATTAGGACTGAGAGCTGTTTGAAGTACATTCCTGTTAAAAACATTCAGGAAGCTACAACATAAAAGTACTTGAGATGAAATGAATTCAGGATCACAAATGAAGATCAACAACCACCTCTACATTGAAACATTATAAGACATAGCTCAGTATCAAAAGTTCTTTCATGAAAAGTCGATATGATTACAGGAAGATACAGAAATCACAATATTTAACAAATGTGCAAGAAGCATAATCCCCAAGATTAATGAAACTCCAGATCACCACTGTTTAATACAGTTTTTGCTAAGCACGAGTAGCTCATACGGTAAGGATTTGTAGTTCAATCAAAATATCTTCTCTGCATCCACTTGGGAACATAATACTCACAACATCCATGTGATTAACAAAAGCAGCCTAGTCCAGGAGGGTTGCCAAAGGCAGGCAGCAGTGTGGCATATCTAAACAAATGAACATGGAAAGGTATCATTATGACTGATGTTGTAGACAATGGGGATAAAAAGCTTTTATAATAAGTAAGAGGCTTTTGGCAGGGGACAAGTCTTAAAGAGGTCTTAGGCTCAATAACCTTTCCCAGCCACAAACCAGATACAAGAAAGATCCAGACTTTAGACAGTGTCCTCTTGTCCCCAGGCAGAAATATCCAAAGAATGTAGACAGAGTGGATGCAAATTTTCAGCAGTGGCAGGAACAGGAAAGAGCACTGGCAATGCTCCTCTTTCCAACCCCAGAGAATCACTTAATTCAGCCCTGCTATAACCAGATGGCTCAGTGGATAAAGAATTCACCTGCCAATGCAGGAGACGCAGGAGACATGGGTTTGATCACTGGGTTGGAAAGATCCCCTGGAGGAGGGCATGGCAACCCACTTCAATATTCTTTCGTGGAGAATCCCAAGGACAGAGAAGCCTGGTGGGCTGCAGTAGTTCTTCGGGTCACGAAGAATTAGATACAACTGAGCACATGTGCATATATAACTTAGTGGGACTAGGCCGCCCTCTCTTTTTCATAAGTGGAAACCCTTGGTTTTTGAGCAAGCACCTTGAACTTTACCTCCAGGTATATAAAAGAACTTGCCAGGTACCTACGATGGATGACTAACTTTCATCCCTCCTTGATTAATCACTCCATGGATGTCTGCCTAAATAAAGACCAATTATGGAGTGGCTACAGGACAGAAGCCAAAACACTCTGATGTCCAAATTAAAACAGTTGGCTCTTCTCCTTCTCCTCTCCTTAAAAAGGTATTTAAAGGTTTTGTCTGCCCCTAGAACGATACAAATGCAAATACATCAGGAAATCTGCCATTTTAGAAGAAGGGACTGGAGGACAGGTCAGCGGAGTGGTAAAAACGAAGTCTTCAGCAGGAGACTCATAGATGGAGCATATCCTGGCTGTGTCTTAGAGAAACCCAAAGCACAGAAATGTAAGGCTTGTCTTAAAATGTGGAGGGAGAAGAGCAGCTGTTCGGGGTCCTGGCCCGACAGGCCTTTCAAAGGAATACAGAGAAGAAGGGGTACATTCCTCATATTTGATCATAAGGCCTACAGCACCCAGGCTCCGGGATCAAAGGTGAGGGCCTCTGATGAAGCAGAAGCAGAAGCCCAGGGAGGGAAAAACAGAAAAAAAAGCCACCTTGTTCACAACAGGAAAACCCACGTCAAGAAGGACTGCCATTGTTGTTCAGTCACTCAGCCATGTCTGACTCTTTGTGACCCCAGGGACTGTAGCCCACGTGGCTTCCCTGTTCTTCGCTATCTCCTGGAGTTTGCTCAAACTCATGTTCATTGAGTTGGTGATGCCACCCAACCATCTCATCATCTGTTGCCCCCTTCTCCTCCTGCTCTCAATCTTTTCCAGCATCAGGGTCTTTTCCAATGAGTTGGCTCTTCGCATCAGGTGACCAAAATATTGGAGCTTCAGCATCAATCCTTCCAATGAATATTCAGGGTTGATTTCTTTTAGGATTGACTGGTTTGATCTCTTTTCTATCCAAGGGATTCTCAAGAGTCTTCTCCAGCATCAGAGGTTTGAAAAGTGAAAGTCACTCAGTTGTGTCCAACTCTTTGTGAACCCATGGACTTTACAGTCCATGGAATTGTCTAGGTTATACTGGAGTGGGTAGCCTTTTCTCTTCTCTAGGGGATCTTCCCAACCCAGGGATCAAACCCAGGTCTCCCACATTACAGGCGGATGCTTTACCAGCTGAGCCACAAGGGAAGCTCACCAGAGATTTGAAAGCATCAATTCTTTGGCATTCAGCCTTCTTCATGGTTCAACTATCACATCTGTACATAACTTCTGGAAAAAACATAGCTTTGACTACGTGGACCTCGGTCGGCAAAGTGATGTCTGAGACCATGGCAAAAAAATGGGACAAAAAATGAGACAATGTTTTTTGTGGTCAGCATGTTAGCCCTCTGAGTTAGGTACCTGTCTGAACGTCTCTTTCTTTGTCCTTCCCAGATACTCTAGCTTTGCTGGCAGGTCCTGAGCCAATCCATTCAACAGCCAAGATTTATAGAGCTCCTGGCTTGCACCAGGAATTGAGTTAGAAATGAAGTATGCAGAGAAGCACTCTACAGGTTCTCTGCTCTAAAGACACGAAGAGCAGAAAGAAAAGAAAGCTGGATGAAATCTACCAGCTTTATCTATTTCATCATGAGCACCAACATTTGCAGAAGCTGTCAACATCACAGAAAAAGCCTTGTGATTCTATAAAGCACTTCATACTCCCCATTCCTCCTTCAAAAGGTAACTTCCCCCACCAAGTAGATATAAAAGCTCTCACACATTGGAGCTGCGTTCCCTTGACTGAAGATTGTCTCCAGTTAAAAAATAAGAGGAGGAAACCCCTGGAACTTATTAGTGATTTATAGCTCTGTATGAAGGAGTTAATCGCATCCATCCCAAAAGGAGCAGTTCAGGTAGATTCTGAGGGCTAGTTCCCTAAAAGATGTACAGAGGTCAGTCCAGGCCTGCCACCTATCCTAATTCTTTCAGGCCACACTCCCAAAAAATATCCTGTTTGCTATTTTTTATATATTCTCAAGTTCAGAAAATTATTCATGCTCTGAAGTAATTTCACATGCTGTAACTCTTAGATTTTTCTTTTTTTTGTTAGTGTCTTAGAAGTCTTGTGCTTAGTCACTCAGTAGTGTCTGACTCTTTGTGACCCTATGGACTGTAGCCTGCCAGGTTCCTCTGTCCATGGGAATTTCCCAGGCAAGAATACTGGAGTGGGTTGCTATGCCCTCCTCCAGGGGATCTTCCTAGCCCAGGGATCAAACCCAGGTCTCCCGCATTACAGGTGGACTCTTTACCTTCTGAGCCACCAGGGAAGTCCCTTAGAAGTCTAGAAGAGATCAATTTAAATAACCTTCCTAAACATATGGATTTTGGTTATTCTTGTCTTGCATGTCCCCAGTATATAACTAGCAGAGGCTTCCATGTATTTGAAAGGTATCCCCTATTGTTGAAAGCATGCAGTAGACCTCAAAATTGCAGATGCCCTTTGCTATTCAAAGGCAAAGGGTTCTCCCCTGTGAGATCTCCCTTCCTCTCATTTGTGAAGTTCAGGCAGATGGCCTATATAATTTTCACCAGATTTTCTTCTGGAGTAAAATCAAGGGCATTAGAAAACTAGGCAACATTAAAAGTCAAGCCGTTTCAAGGAAAAAAAAAAAAAAAGGCAAGTGATGTGGCATGTCCATAGCATCTGAGCAATGAGCAGATCCTTAACTTTCTACAACACATCTTTTTGTTATTTTGTTAGTACAAATGTCTCTGTAATTGAAATTCTGACATTTTGAAAAGACAAAATTTAGGAACTGTTTCACATGCAAAGATTCTCTTACCATTGTTCATTTGAAACGGAATACCTTACACATTTCTTTCAATGGTCTCTACCCAGATGAGACAAGAACACTAAAGACTGCCTTGATTTCTTTTAAAAGATTTTTTTATGTGTACCATTTTTAAGTCTTCACTGAATTTGTTACAATATTGCTTCTGTTTTATGTCTTGGTTTTTGGTCACAAAGCATGTGGGATCTTAGCTCTCCAACCAGGAATCCAACCTGCACCTCCCACATTGGAAGGTGAAGTCTTAACCACTGGACTGCCAGGGAAGATCCAAAACTGCCTTAACAACAAATAAAAGCTATTTCTATCCTCCACTCTCCATCCTGGGATGCTCATGTAATTACAGCAGCTGTTCATCAATAACAGAAAGGAAGAAGTGGTACCAATGATGAGAACCAAGATAAGGACTCTGTTCTCAGAAAATATCTCTAAAGTCCATGATTTGGATCTATAAGCTGAACCAAACAACTTGCCCTGCTAATTAGGACTTATCTATCAGGAGATTTCAAATGCTATTTGAAGGTACATCCCTAAAATGTCACAGTTACCCAGATCTCTGTCAAGCTACCTGGAAAAATGTAATTCAATTCCAGAAAATTCTCACATGGTAAGTGTAGCCAGATTGCTGGGAGAAATATCAATAATCTCAGATATGCAGATGACACCACCATTATTGCANAGACGAAAGTCCAGGACCATATGGCTTCACTGAGGAATTCTACCAAATGTACAAAGAGGAATTTACATCTATCTTTCTCAAAATCTTCCAAAGACTGAAGAGAAGGGAACACTCTGAATGTCATTCTTTGAAGCCACCATAACCAAAACCAGACAAAATGAAGTTGCTCAGTCGTGTCCGACTCTTTGTGACCCCATGGACTATAGCCTACCAGGTTCCTCCACCAGACAAAGACACTACCAAAAATAGAAAATTAGAGATCAAACATCTTTGATGAATATAGATGCAAAAATTCTCAAGAAAATATTAGGAAACCAAATGCAACAACACATTAAAAAAAAATTATACACCATACTCAGATTCATCCTACAGTCACAAGGATGGCTCAACATATTCAAATCAATGTGATATACCATGTCAACAAAAGAAAAAACAAAAATCACATTACCATCTCAACAGATTCAGAGAAAGCCTTTGAATAAAATTTAATGCCCATTCATGATAAGAACTCTTACCAAAGCGGGTATAATGGGAACATATCTCAACATAATAAAAGCTATTTATGACAAATTCACAGCCAACACAATACTTAACTGTGAAAAGCTGAAAGCCCTCCACTAAAATCTGGAACAAGACAAGGATGCCCACTCTCACTATTTCTATTCAGCACAGTACTGGGAGTCCTAGCTACAGCAATCAGATAAGAAAAAGAAATAAAAGATACCCCAACTGGAAGGGAGAAGTCAAATTGTCATTATATGCAGATAACATGATACTATATCCTAAAGACTTCATACAACAACTTCTAGAACTGATAAATAAATTCATCAAGGAAGCAGGATACAAGATTAACATTCAGCAATCTGTTCCACTCCTTTACAATGACAATGAAATATCA